AAGGAAATTATACAAGTCAAACAATGAGAAAGGAAAATGTGGCCGAAATAAGAAATACAGGGATCGATATTCTGACGAATCAATTGCAATACCGACATCGCTCTGTTTGAACACTTATTCCATGAATTAATTGCAATACTGCTGTTGTGTTTAAACACATACTCTATGAATCAATTTCTTCTCAATCTTTTTCATGGCCTATTTTCAAAAAAAAATTGGTCAATCTTTTCGGCTGTCAGTCTTCTATTTTGCTTCAATATCCTCCATCGGGCTGTTTGTTAAGGGGACAAATGTTGTAATCATATACTTATATTGTGACAGCTGTCATTTTGCTTTATTAATTTCTGGTGAGGTAGGCCCTATTTCGGACGCAATATTTCCCTTTAATTTAAAAAAAAGAAGTTAAATCCTCCAACCTAGTCCTTTAATTATTATACAAATATCTGAATTGGTTTTTAAACTTAAAATAATTCTTTTTTTGTCTTTGAAATTTGACAATTTAATCTTTTTTGGTTCCTTCGTTAAATTTTAAGTTAAGTGGCTGGTTAATTAATTGACAAAATTATGAGATGTCAACAAAAATTAGACATGTAGAATTTATAACTTGCCAAAGTGCATGACATGGCAAGATACTAGCGAATTTAATGAATTAAAATGTATATTTATAATTTTTCCCTTCTATTTTTATTCCTCTCATCTTTTATTTCTTTCCCCTTATTCCTCAAAACCTTAATTTGCTTTCTCTCCCTCTCACACCGCCATTCTTGGTACAAGCTTGATCTACACTTCCTCCAAACCTAGAACTCAAATCTATGCTTCTTTGTTGTATGCTTGATTTACCACGGAAAAAGCTTCAATCTTGATCTTGTTGATGTAATTTTTCACCCTTTGGTTCAGCTCTTGATCCTCATCATTGAATGAAATCCATGACATCTTCGTCAATAACTGAAATCCAAACAATTCTTGGGGTTTTGAGTTTGCTAAAGTCCATGGAATCCTACTTGCTCTATGGCCTCACTAGCTTACTGTTAACTATTTAAAGTTCTGTGTATTTGATCTGTGAAGAATCTTGATTCATTTTTAAAAAATCAATGGATTGATTATACAGAAAGAAGAGATGGGCATTTGCAAAAATGATTTCTTTTGTATTCTAGAGCTGGGGAGTGTCAATCATAGGGTGGCCCATAGTGATGGAGCATCACCTTCTGCAATCATTGGTCATTCTCGTCTCCAAACCCAATACAACCTCTTCTTTTTCACCAATTTTGCCACCCTTGCCATTAACCACCATCATGTGCTCAATTGTATCTTCACTCACTCATTGTATCTTCTCTCTCTCTCTCTAAATTTGATCTCAATCACCAAATAGAGGAACAAGAGAAATCAAGGTCATTGGAACCCAATGTTGAAATTGAAAGCCTCACTAGGAATTTTTTTTTTTTTAATTTCTCTCAAAAATTCTTGAATATATCATATGTACAAACTCAATATTAAGGTTGAATAAAGTTTAGATTTCTAGGTTTTCATTGGAGATGGATTTCTAGGTTTATACAAGTGATGAATTTTTGGGTTTCTATTCATCGGCAATAACCTACCCAAATGGTCCTTGTTTTTTTCTTTGTTTTATTATTTAATTAAAGTTAATTTAAGTAGATAACAATGGTAATTCAAAAGTCTTTTGTTTTATTATTCAATCAAACTCAAATTAAATGGTTAACAATTAATTAAAAAGTTACAAAGGATGGACCCTACAAATATTTTGGGTAAGTTGACGGGAGATTACATTTACAATCTTTTTTGACATGTCATGCATTTTGCTACGTTATCAATTCCACATTTTTAATTTTTTATGAGTCATCCTTCTGCTGGTTAATTAACTTACAAGTCATGTCGCCCAACACTTAATGGGAAGGACAAAAAGAGCCAAATTGTCATACTTTACGGACCAAAACATAGATTTTTTGAACTTAGGGACCAATTCAGGGTCCATACAATAGTAGATGGACCAATTGGGGATTTAACCCAAAAAAAAAAAAAAAAACCTTTGGCTTGCTTTCCTGTTGGGAAGCTTTAAAATTCTTAGATGAACCCGTCTGTCCATGAAGGAGTTGTCCTGGAGCGAGCCGCTGCCGGAGATAGAATCCTCCTGATCATGGAGATCAACGTCCCTACAGCTACTTCCGCCAGAACTGACAGGAAACTGATAGAGAGAAACAGAAGAAGTCTTATGAAATCTCTCTCCTCCAAACTGAATTCCCTCATTCCTCACCTAAACTCTTTGGTTATTTTCTTCATTCCTTCTTGTCGTTTTTCTGACATAAAAAATAATACGATCGCATTCTCTTCTCATTATGGAGCTTTACCTTTTGTAGAAAGCAACGTCAGTACCAGATCAGGTAGATGAAGCCGTAAATTACATCAAGAAGTTGGAGACCAACCTGGAGACAATGAAGGAGAGGAAAGATATTTTGACTAGAATCGTGAGCGCAAGTTCTAGCGAAAGCAGTGGGAAAAAATTTCCTGAAATTAAGATTCTTGAAATGGGTTCTGGTTTGGTGGTTGCTGTTTTGATAACTGGGTTGGATGGACAGTTTATTTTCAGGGAAACAATTCGTACTCTTCGTGAAGAAGGAGCTGATATTCTCAGTGCAACTTCCTCCGCGGTGAATAATGGCAGAGTGTTTCACATAATACATTTCACAGTAAGAGCACAATATCTTAATTTTCAGCTATCATTTTTATTCGAACAGCAGTATCTCCATTAGTTTTTAATTGAACGCCATTAATCCCTCTATTAATTATCTTGGCCAAACTCTCAATTTGTACTCTTAATATACATATATATTTTTTTAACTTAAGAGATTAACTACTTGACAATATACAAGTATAAATTTTTTATTTTAACCTTAAATTAAAGTTTGTGCTCTTAATATGTTATGGAAGAAAAATAATTGATATATCTCTTCTAATTCAATATATGTTTGATACTGTCCGATTAAGTTATTAAAATATAAATATAGCTAATTCAGTCAATTTTTATATTTTAAGTTTGTTTTAATTTTAAATCAAAAATAATAATTTTTGCTAAAATGTGTTGCACTTAAGGAATGGTTTATCTATTATTGTCCATTAATTATTGAATATCATGGTCAATACCCTCCAATATTAATTATCTGGACCGTTGGAAAGCTTGTTCTCAAATCTTTCTAAGCATATGACATCCTTACCATGAATTATTCTCTATGATTTCTAAGAATTTTTTTTTTGAAAATTTCAGCCATGAAAACTTAGATTTGAAATAAATCTAATTATAAGGAGACTTTGGCTATCAAAAAAATGCAGATTTAATCTAGATGCACGGAAATTGATTTACGGCAAAAAACATGAAGTAATACTGAGTATGCATCAAGTTGCCATTGAAATGCATCGAGCTCTTGGTAGAGTTTTTTGAGCAGTGCAAGGGGCACTCGCTTCCTGCACTCTCCAACCAGCACATGCTTTTTTTTATTGGGCCACGTAAGCTTGCTTTTCCAAAGCAATGAAACCCACCTCTCACAACCAAAATAACGTGGCCCAATGAAAATGGAAGTGTTGGTTGGAGAGTGCAAATGGCGAGTGCCCCTAGCATTGCTCTAGTTTTTTAGATCTAAAAAATTGGAAGAAACTTATAAAAATTTTAGATACATAATAGTTGTTGAGTGTGGTTTGGATTTAATTAGATTGATGGGATACTAGGGATTCAGGGTTTATATGCTGATGGAGGTAGTGCACGTTCTTCGCTTTCATTTTGAATTTAGATTTAAGTGCACTGTGCAGATATATATGCAGTCCATGAAGTCATGAAACAACTGAAAAGCTTGTTCCTTTCATTAATTCCTTTTTAAGGTTACAGCTATAGAAAACAAATAGAAATGAGGGAGAGAAAGGAGTTGGCCGGGAAATGAGATCGAGTAGTCATTTGCAGAAGCAATTAGAGGGGCTTGGGGTGGGGGGCGAATAGGAAAATGGGGAGGAGGCAATTAAAGTAGGCGTGGCCCCACATGCAAATTTTCATTGTTAATTTTTTAGTCCAAGGCCACGTCAGTATTAACATTCAAAGGGATTCAAAGTTTAATATAATTTTATGTATTATTTAAAT